AAAAAAAAAAAAAAAAAAAAGAAAATTAAAAAGAAAAAAATATAAACGAAATCACGAACTAAACGATCAATACTCGTCTCATGAAACGAGTCATGGTCGCAATTACGCAATTATTACATTTAATAGGAAAGAATCTCCAATTCAGAAATTTAAAAAAATTATAAAATTTTGAAAATGTAATGCATATATGTAAATACGTAATTCGCTATTTTTCTTTTATTAGACTAAATTAATTCTAAAAGAATAAAATATTCCAGAAATTTTGGCTTTTTAATTTTATAATTTGCAAATAAGATATAAAAAAAAAAGTTTTCAGATAAAAAAGTTTCTTTAACGAGAATTATTGTCTGCTGAAAGATTTATTATTTATTTATATAATAAGAAAATTATAAGCAAAAAGTTATAAAAAATTTTAATCTATAATTTAAATAATTATGAAATAATGAAAATATAATATATAATACATAAAAAATCAAATACTTTTTTCTCAAAAAATTTCTTTCTTTTGAGAATAAAAATTTTTCTAATGTTTTAAATATTTTCAAATGTTTTGTACTTAAATATTTAAGTACAAAAGTAAGATAATTTATATTATATACTTTAATTTATATACTTTTCAATCTTTTATTTTAGTGAATAAAAGTATAAAATGAAAATAAAAAAAAGAAGGAGAATTATAATATATATGTCTTATTTTAAAAAATTTTTTTTTTTAATATAGTTATCAAACTTCTCTTTTATTTTCTTACATAGCAGATAATACAAACAATGCAGAGGTTTAATAATCAATTAAAAAGTAGCTGAATAACATTGAAAACATATTTTAGGATAAATAGTATTATGAATTATTTTTTATGGTGATGAAATTCTTCAAAAAAATGGAAATATATAAATTTGTTACATTGCATATCATATGATAACATAACTGCCACATATAAAACAATGAACTATATGAAATCTTATTGCAAAATTCATTGGATTTTCAAAATTATTTTGTTTCTTATCAATATATGTACATGTAAAAAAAAATATAATAAATATATAATATATTAATAAAAATTGTTGTTAACTTTATATTGTTAACTATTTATATAAGCTTATGCATGTAAATTAATATTATAATTATATAATGCAACAAAATAGAAAAATTTTTATATAAAATTATTCCATATACGGAAACATTATATTTACATTAAACTATCATGTCTATAATTTTCTTCGCTATTGTGAATATTTTAAGATATTGATTAGATAATATACTATTTTGTAATATAAATGGACAATGTCGAATTCATGAATCTAATAACAGAATATCTTGAAATCTCGTTTTGATAGATATACTTTTGTTAATTATTCATTAAATTATTTATTAAACAATTCGTTAATTTTTCAGATATGGAAGCTTATTTAAGTAACTTATATAAATATTCCATTGTCGAAATAAAGATTCTTTCACTTACGTAATTAAAATCATTACTTTTTTCTGTAGAATAATAAAAAAAAAAGAGAAAAAAAGACTTTCAGAAACTGATACACAAGGAATGTAATATAGCTATGTATAGTAATGGTATAGTTATGTATAGTATATATAAATTATACTTTTATTGCTATAGTACCTTTTGTTTCTTATTTCTAGCTAAAATGCGATTGATCGGAATGTAATTTTAGAAAATTTAAATCCATCTTCTTCAATATTGAATGTATTTTTGATCCGAGCTGTGTATTTCTAATATGAGTGTTTACATTTTATATTATCTAATAAAAATCGAAACAATTTCATTATTTATTACGTAGTATTCATATCATATGAATTGATAATAAATTTTGTTTATTATTATATTAGAGAGACTATTCTATTATATATTTTGAAATTTGTATAAATTTGTATAAAATTTACATAAAATTGTATAAATTTGTATAAATTTTTTTAAAATTGGAAATCCAATGTTGGGATTTTTAAAAAATTTTCAAATCTATCTTTTCATTAATTTTTAATATCCTCTTTAAAAATTTAACTTTAATGAATAATATCAATTGCATTCATAAACTTGTTATAAAAATTTAAAAATTTGTAACAATTTTTCCTCACATGTTTCTCCCTCTGTTAATAAAAAGCAATTATACATGGATACAAAACAAACATAATATATAGTTAACATAATATAAAAATGATTACTCACTTATATAATAAGATGTTCTACAAAAACTTTTCAAAATTTATGTTTTTGATAATGTTTAAAGAAAATCATTTCCTCTTTTCATTTTTTTTCGAATACAATAGCAACTTTATATTTCAGAATTGCATTCATTTAGCTTTTTGTTTCAAAATTACAATATCTCGTCCTTTAGGCACATACTGATCTTTCTTAATTTCTAAAAATTTGTATAAACAAAAAATTTTACAAAATATTATTTAAATAGTTTTAAAAATTTTCGTACAATATCAATTTTCATTGCAAATGAAATGTCTTGCGATTTAATAAGCATATTTTTTATTTCAAAGTAACTCCATTTCTTCTTTATTAAGTATTTCATACTGTTATTATTCACAATTTTAAAAATAGTCATAATACAAATTACGAAGTACGAATTATATTTGCACGATATATGTGAATCATTTTTATGTATTCATTGTAAAATTAAGATGTATTTATTGTTGACATCTATAGTAGACTACAAACTAGTATTTCTTATTGTTAATGAGTCTTTACTAGTCAAATGCCTTTAACACTGCTGACAATAACAAGAAATGGAACTATTTATCGTTAGATATAGCAAAAATGTAATGTCATTTATTATATTAATATATATGCACGTTTTTTCTCGATTTGCATGACACATTCGCATCTGATAATTTATACATATGCATCGTGATAATTTTCTATTGTATGTGCAGCATATCATATCATATATACAATAAGATTCGAAATATTTATTTATAGTAAAAAAAAGTATTTGTTTTTTTTTTATACTATTTCATAATTATTTAAACTGATTAAAATTTTGTGAAAAATGAATTTTGAAAAAAATTTTAATTTTTCTTTATCGAATTATTGATATAAACAATTGATAAATTTTTTACTAGATAATAGTTTTCATTAAAAAAAATAATTTTTGTCTGAAAACTTTTTTTCTATCTCTATTTTGTGAATAATAACACAGAAGAATAACCGAATTTTCAAGGATTAATTTTATATCTTTAGATTGAATTTGGATAGCAAAAAAAAAAAAAAAAAAGAAAATTCATAATATTTATGTATTTTTATGTATTTCATATTTTTTGTGTATTTCATATTCTTAAAATTTCAATTTAATTTTTTGAATTTCAGGTTGGAAATCTTAGTCGTGATAATTGTGTTTGACCAAACATTATCATTATCATTAATTATTATTATACATGTTTGTAAGATGTAGAAGATATTGTAGAATTTGTAGAAGATATTGTGCGTTGATTTTTTTTTATAATTTAAGATCAATAAAGAATAAAGTTAAATATAATTTTAAAATTTAATAACGTTTGCAATGATAACGTTATTGGCGAGACTAATATGAGTGAAAACGAAAGAAATATTATCATAATTGTATAAATGATCTGATAATTTAAAAAAAAAAATAAGTATTACATGTAGATGAGCTTTGAGTAGATCGATTGTGATCTAATTGATACCGATTGATCAATAAATGAAATATTGCGATTTTAAAATTTAGAAAAATGCTAAATACTATTATTTAAGTCATATGCTGTTCAGTTCAAATTATATTTTTGGTACAGAATATATTTATTGACTTCTATTAAACATTACTTGGTATTATGAAATTTTATTTTCTCTGTCTTAACCTTGATTTATATAGTGCTATCTGTTCATTTTAATTTACAAAATTATTATTGAAGATTAAATACATTTATTATATTCGTACAATGATCATTATGTAAATATATATATATGTAATTCTTTTAAAATTTATTAATTGAAGAAGCACATTCCTGCATCTATCTATTCATCCAAATACAATCATTTATAAAAAATACTAGTATCCTTACACTGCAAAAATTTAATTTTTTTTATTTTTAATAAAATTATATACATTGTAATAAGATTATGTATATATAAAGAAATGAAATCAATGTTTGAAATTTCAATATATAATTTTTTAAATATATGGTTTTTTAAATGTAACTTTATAATGTATGAGATAGAACAAAAATTTAAATTATAAGATATTTAGTTTTTTAATACCCTATCATCTTATAAAAAATATCTTTGGATAAAATTGTTTCCAAAATACTAAAGTGCTTGATTTCATTTCTTCAAATAGCTGATTTTCTGTCGACAAAAAAATTGCTTATCCATTATGTTCTATATATATATATATATATATTCAATAAAATTAGAATATTTTCAAATAAAATGAATTTTCTTATATCATAAAATATTTATAAGTGATTATATATATTTATATATGTTCAAATTATTAATTTTTTCTTTAATTTTAATTTTAAATTTTTTAAATTTTCAAATATAAATTTTATTTTGTAACATATTCATTTTCATAATAAAAAATTTTTAACAAATATTTATTTGTTGCGAATAAATTCTTTCATTTATAATAAATCATTTACGAATTTTTGTAAATACCTTTAAAGTCCTTAATCCTTTTATTATATTTGCAATATGTTTATAAGTGTGCTTATATAAATTTCAATCGCAATCTGATATACACATTAAAAGGTTAATAGATTACTTCATTCAAATGATTAAATAAATTATTGAATAATAAATTATTTGAAAATAATTTATCTGATTTTGATACAAATACAAAGTTCTCTATTATATATTTTATTTTATTTTTAAAATTATATTAATCATTTTTTAAATTGTTATATATCATTTATATTTCAAATAAAATATCCAACCAATCCAAAAAAAATAATAAAATGATTCAGATAAAATATATTTATTGGAGGTCAAATTTTTGTGTTACTTTAAGATTTTATATAAAGCCTTAAAATATAAAATATAAAAATATTAAAAGTTTTACAACTTTTATTCTTTTGAAAGACTGAATTCGTTTTTAAATTAAAAAACAGATATATAGATTCTGAAATGATGTGACTCGATATAGAAAATGATGGGGGTGCATTCCTTGAATGATTGCGTGATGTTGAGAGTCTATAATTTATGAATTCATGCATGTATTTTTGAAAGTTAAAATGGTTTTGAATAAAAAATTCAATAATCTCGCCAATTTCTTCATATTTTATCGCAGATACACATATATTTTTGCCATTTCAATAATATCATAAATTTATCATTATTATTCGTTTAAATATCTAAGAATTCGTTTAGATGTCTAAGAACAAAAATATTTCATAAAAAGAAGTAAAAAGGATTTAATTAATAATATGATATATTACTTATGATATATTGTTAATATGATGTATTATTTTTTTTCTATTGTCATAGTTTATCATTCAATGAATTAATTTTGCTGCTTATGTAAAAACGAATCAATCGAATGTTCTCCTATAATAATTTTTAAAATAAAGAAAAAACTCAGGAAACGATTCCGTAAAATTTTAAAGAAAAATGAATTGAAAAAATACTATTCTATGCAAGAAAGAATAAAAAGTTAATTGAAGTATTGGAATCTAATTAAAAAATTAGAATTCAAATATTCAAAGATAACGATGTTAATATATATTCCTAATAAAAGTTTTTGAATAATTATCATATTTGGTTCAAAATTACAAAAATTCAAAAAGTTATTATTATATTTAAATAAATAATTATTATACTTGAAACATTTAATTGATACTTATATTTCATAATTTGTATAAATGTGTATATATACAATTTTTTTTAAAATAGAAAACTAATTGCCTTATGAATTTTGTATATATGTGATGCAATAAATGTATTTTGAAAGGAAATTGATATTTGCGATCGGTAATTTTCGAGATTCAAGTACAAAATTTCAAAATTTTATACTCGAGAAAAAAACAAGAATTTTAAAAAATTTGTTTTTTTGCAGTTCTGTATTGTTAAGTGAATTGTTAAATATTAAATAGATTAAAAAAATTTCCATCAGATTATTATTTATTTCATATCACAAAATTTTCAGTTTAAAGAAAGAGAAATTTTGAAAAATTATATCTTAATATTTCGAATGAAAATCGAATAGTTTTTATAAAGAAATTATTACAATGATAAAAGAAGGTCATTGAAAATAATAAGTATTAAATTATTATTTTATAAGATATTTTAAATAATTTATGGTTTATAACAAAACCATTCGAAACTTTTGTATATATCAATATAACATTTCATTCTGTTTACTTTATGCATGAAATACGTATAAAATATATGCTTTTACGTTAATTTAATAAAAATGAAATTCAATTAAAAATTAAAAAACTTTTAATAACAAAATGTCGTTCAATGAAAAAATATCAATGTAAATACATCGTTGATTACAAAAATATAAAAATATAAATTATAATAACTTTTGAAAATTCATTAAATATAAATCAATTAATACAAAATATTATATATAAATAAATCAAATAGAATTTTTTATAATTTTTCGATTAGCGACATATTATTTAATCATGAATTAAAATAAATAAAAAAAAATTCTTTTTTTCTTCAGAGTTATTGATAATTGGATAATTGATAATTGATTTGATCTTATTTTATCTAAGAAAAAATGCAATGTCTATTAATGTGTCTATTAAAATTAAAAATAAATTATTAAAATTAAAAATAAGTATTAGTTTAAAAATTTATTTTATATAAAGACATTTTACTCGATTTTTTTTTTCTTCTTCTATCATCGTTGTAAAGGAGAAGAATTCAGAAAGAAAATCAAATTTATTCTTTTCTCTCTTTAATTTTAAAATAGACGATAAAAAGGAAAAAGATAAATTATTCGCGANTATATATATATTTATAATAATAATTTTATAGTAATAAAAATAAAAATTTTATAGTAATAAAAATAAAAATAATAATTACTAAATAATTTTCTAGTCAATCCTTGAAGTACAAAGTGCAAATACAATTTCTTAATTAAAAGTTAACCAAATTAACGGTAAATCTAAATTTATTTAATTTTTATTAATATTAATCGACGATTTTTAACAAAATTGACTCAATTTGGTATATTTAAACAAGATTGTATATTAAGTATCTAATTCAAGGTTTGATCATATTTAATAATATTAAAATATCGTTTCCTTTACTATAGTAAGTAACTACAGTAAGCTTACAAAAGACTTGAATCTATGTCATTTAAATTAAGTTAGGTTAGATTACCCACTTAAAAATATTATTGCTTTAGATTTTCGAATTATCAAAAAATTCGAAATTATTTAATCAAATTCGAATTTGTATATAATAATCCTATTATTATTCGTGAATAATATAAAAAAATCATTATGAAATAATCGAATAACTCGAAGAACATAGTAATATAGAATATAGTAAGAAATATGTATATATGTATATATAGTAAGAATATTCGAGAATTACTAATATCGATACTGAAGTACGAGAAATGTATATGAAAATCTCGAACAAAGAACTTAATTCCATAATGCATAAATGTTATTTATCGTATTATGCACCAATTATATTTATGATTATTGAACGTATACGTTCTTTCCGCCAATATTTATGAGGAAATATATGAATGCAAACGAGTGTGTCTTTTGTATTTATAGAAAAACTATGATAATAACAAAGGAAGAGATATAAATTGTGTATATATGTGCATCATTAAAATCGTTCGTATTTTTAACACTGAAAGATATTATCGTTCGCGAACTTGTTTATACGTTGTTCATGCTATCATGTTTTAGTGATAAATATATATATATAAAATATATATATAAAATATATATATAAAATATATATATAAAATATATATAATATAATATAAAAAATGTAATATAAAAAAGAATAATATGC